TGCAAGTGGACTTTGATTGTTTGGATCAGGTTTTGCAGACTTTGCTTATTAGTGATTGTTTATATATTTTAGTGGTTGTTTCTTCATTTTAATAAGTCATAGAAAAAACAACTAATTATATACTTATTGTACTGATTGTTTGGACTTGATTCAAATATGGTGCATATATACTGTTTAAAGAATGTTTATAAGTCAAGACAACTTACTCAGATGAAAAATAATCTAAGTCATAGAAAAAAAATCACTAAGGCTAATTTGTTTTACGGCGTCTGCAATATAACAATACTTATGCTATTTTCTTTGTTTATTGCTTAGGAACTTATAACATATATAAATAAATTCTTATTGCAGACTTATATAACAATATATTAAATGCTTATTGCTTATTGTTATAATAATGTATTGTTATACTCAACCTTCTGCAGACTTTGCTTATTGCAGCATTTAATGGTATATTTAACGCATCATTTTAAGGCTAATTTGGTCAAAATCTTATCGTACCCAGCAATTATATTGCAGTCACGTTGAAAAGTTTATCATGCATGAGAGTGTTCAAAGTGAAATAAAAAAATAGGAGTAATCAGGTGGCTTTCATTGTAATTTCATAAAATACATTTTCAATGAGGCTCAAATGTGCTTTCTTTTTTACATGTGTTTGCTCTGTCTGATAAATCCCTTCACAGGACGTTTGTTGATTACTTATTGTACTGATTGTGAACTTATCAGACACTCAATTTTAAGTTCATTGCAACTTTGTTGATGTAGTAATGAAATCTCAATTGCCTTAGGGAACCCATTCTAGTTCTAGTCAAATTTTCGTGCCTCAATCCCAAGCACACCATCAATCATCTGCTAGCCGAAATATTAGTGTGAGACAAGCATTTAGGACTACAACATCTTACAACTTGGGCAGAGGTGTCTTAAGAACTTTGGAGGCCCTAGATGTAACACCGTCCCCAAATATATTTACTTTTAAATGAATAATGTATTGAACCTTGTGGAATGGTTAATGAGGTTATGAAGTTGTGATTTTTATTAATGTTTTGTGTGATAGTAAATTCGCACGCGGGTCCCACGCCGGGAGCGGGGGCCGCCCGATATTCCCGAGACCATATATTTTATTCATCTTGATGTAGATAATATTCATATGGTGGTGGATACTTCATTTGGGCCAAAAAAAAGACATAATGTGGACCGATTGGTCAAAAGTGGCTCAATTACCGGTTTTGGTCATTTCATAGATAACAGCCCAAAATGAATTTTGGGGGCTTATAAATTAAATTTGGGAAATATATAAATTCATTATAAGGGCCATACTGATTGATAACGCGTAATATATTTTCTTTGACCCGATAGAATAAAATATGTTTAAAACAGTCCGAAAATACAACTTTCGGGGCCGAATGTACACATTGAGACACAAGGGATGACCTCCCACATAAGTGGGGGCCACCCCACGTTTTTGTGTGTTGAATTAGACAAGGGAAGGGCTGGTTTGACAAAGGAAAGAGGGTGGAAGAGATGCTTTTGGCATCTAAGTACAACGAATGGACCCTCTCCCCATTTTGATTGGAAGATATCTTGCTCCATCATCCCACATTTCAACCCACCCTTACCCATTCACTTTGGAGGCTAAGTGAGGGACAAGATAACACTCCCACAACCCCCTATTCGAACTCCCAGAGATAAGAGAGAAGGAGAGAGCCACACAACCAAGAAAACAAAGGAAATGGCGAGCTGTCCGCAGGGTGAAACTCCAGTGCGTAAGGTTACTTGTTTGCTTCATATCTCGTGCAATACTCAACCAAATAATGCGTGTGAGGTGTCCAGAGAAAGCTCTCAAGAAGATGAATCCGTCAAGGTCTGTTTTGCATCAATCGGAGTAGTAGAAGGCTTCCAAATCCTTGGGAGAAAACACGACCTCGCAGAAAACGGATTTGCTCCTCTAAAGTGAGTTTTGATCCCAAACTCTTCCTTTCGTTTTCCAAGTGATATGAACGATTGGCGGAACTATTTTACACTATTTCAAGTGTATAACATGTCCTTATGAAGTTGTTTTATTGACGTAAAGGTTAGATACTAACCTAGAACAAACCTTGGAAAAAACTAGGAAACGAGTCGCCGGAAAACACCCATTCTAGGGGCTGTTTTCATATCAACAATTAGAGGTTGAGCTAGCACTTTGGGGAGGCTGTTTAACACTCATTTCTAAGCAAGAAATCAGTTCTTAATCCACCTCGAACAAAGCTTTGACCATTGGATCAAGAAGGGAAGGTTTAAAGCTCATTTGAGGTGAGGATGACCGACTATATTGCTTATAATCTTTGGGTTAATTTCATGAGAATTCCTAAATGAATACAAAATGTGATTTGCATGGGTTATTAGTGATTAATAATGCCCAAATGAAATTACTATTGATTTTAAGTATAGTTTGCACAATATACAAATTTAAGAATAAATTGTGTATGTGTATATGTTATGAATATGATGACATGATAGTTGAATCAACCATGAATCCCATTTGTGATAAATATGCACTTTTATTTCATGAGAAGAAGCCGTGAAAGTATTAAAGTGATATTTTGATATTAATCCAAATTACACATAAATGAAGAATTATATTTAAATGAGTAAATAACTAGTATTGAGATATTAGTTGGAATTGTAGTTGAATAACAGATGAATGGATCCTAAGATATTGAATTGTAAAGAATCAGTGATTATTGAGCTGGGCTCTAGACCGATGTAGATGACGGTGATTATTGAGCTGGGCTCTAGACCGATGTAGATAACGGTGATTATTGAGCTGGGCTCTAGACCGTAGTAGTTATCGGTGATTATTGAGCTGGGCTCTAGACCGATGTAGATGACGGTGATTATTGAGCTGGGCTCTAGACCGTAGTAGGTAACGGTGATTATTGAGCTGGGCTCTAGACCGTGGTAAGTAATGATGAATTGACACTAAACGAACAAAGTTAACCATGAGATAATAACACCCTAGATTGAGGGTCTTGGAAATTGAAACATTGATTATACTTAGTATAGTTGTCATTGTACTTGTCAAATGCTTCCAAGTACTGACCTCCCTTTCACGGGGGAGGCCACCTCACAGTTTCAGGTAGGAGCTGAGCTTGCTACCAGTGCCCGTTGCTCCGGGAGAATTCAAGGAAGGAAGACGTGGTTCGTGCTTCCTCCGTTCCTGTTTAAAAAAAACATTTAAATTAATGCTCATGGATATTATATTTTTGAATAATCATTTGGGGGCTTGTATGCCCATGTTTGCCAAAGTGTGGCACGAACACTTATATTAAATGTTTCCGCTGCATTGAATGAATATTTTACATTATGTTTGTTTATGGATGTACTATGTGTGAATGATATTCCCAGACGCCTTGTATAGTATGAATGTGTTGGACTGCGGTTGACTATTCGTACTGTACGGCGGATTGTTGACGTGTCCGGATAGGTCCGGGACGTGACACTAGACAAAAATTAACTTTAATTTTCAGTTCCGTAATAAGTGTTTGTATCTTGTTAGAATTCAAAATGAATGAGTTTGTAGTAGGTCACTGGAATGTTAGGGGTTAGGTCACTGCATGTGGCGATTATCAGTGGTGTGTCACTAGCGCAGTGGTCACTATGACATTAGTCACTAGCATCGTGGTCACTATCAATGGTGTTCACTGGCGCAATAGTCATTATAATGTACGTTGGTCACTACTCACTATCGGTGGTGTGTCACTGGCACAGTGGTCACTATTATTGATGTGTCATTGGCATAGTGGTAACTTAATGTCAGTCACTATGACGTTAGTCACTACAACGTTGGTCACTATAATATTGGTCACTAAGCCGTTAGTCGCGGTGATTACTATGATCGACAAGTCATTGATGGTGATCACTGTGAATGTTGGTCATTGCCGTGTGGCGGATTGTATGCTAATCATGTCTTGCATCTCTGCCAAGGATGTAAGAGAGAGGCAAAGAGAGAGGCATATATGATATATCATAGAAGGATCAAGCATGTGTGAGGAAAGCAAGTCGTCAAAATAGTCTGAGCTTTTGTGACGCATAGCCTAGACCCCAACGACCCAACCCACTAAACACCTTTATCCGCAACTCTGTTTAGGAACAGAATTATAGAGCCCGTTTGGTAGCACGAAAATCGGCTGTTTTGGCTGGTTCTGTTGCAATTTATGAAGTTCTGGCTGAAGTGGCTGTTTTGGCTGATTCTGCTGATTCTAGAAAAAAATATTTTAAAAATATATTTTATTAATAAAATAAAGAAAAAATTAGATGTAAAAATAACTAATATGGTCATCTACAGTAACTTCAGTCAATACAGCCAGAAAAGTAACTCCAACCTTACTTTTTCTGCTTATTACACAATTCAGCACGCGAAAGTAAAAATTACGTGTTTGGTGAAAAAGCTGGCTGATAAGCCTGATAAGCCGAAGAAAGGGGTCTCCAAACGGGCTCATACTAGTAAGTAGTAAGGGTGAAACAGTCACTTTGTCTCTTTTTAGTCTCTTTTTGGAAACTTAAAAAAAGGTCACTTTTTTTGTCCATTTATTATTTATTAGTAATATTCATGTCCTAACCCCTTTTATAATTCAATTCCATAAAGCATTGAGTAGGTAAACATGCATTTCGCACAAGTTTTTGAAATTCCTTTTGTTTTAAAGCACTTTCAGCCTCCACTCTTTGAGCTAATCTAAGGAAATGAAACTCGCAAGCAGATACTGAAAAGATAATGATTTAGAGATTTTAATGTAGTTTTTTAAACATTTACTGCCCTCAGATCTCTACTTTTGTTCACACTTCACAACATTGTGTAACTACGAAGACACAAAATTGTCTAATGAGATTCAGGTCAAAATATAATAGTACTTGTCCGTCCCATTTTCAACTACCAAATATCGAAGTATTAAATTGTTTGACTACATGAACTGAATCATCTTACAATGCAAAAAATGTTAACACTTTCAATTGTCATCTTACTCATATATGTCAGTGTTACAGATCTTTGTTTATATCTTTCTATGAATGAGATAAATGACACAAGCAGCAGCAGCCCAGGAGAGGAGAGTCATCCTCTTATTGCGGCATATAAAACCAGTATGTTCAAATGCTCTACCAATATTCCTATCCACCATAATCATGTCCTGAACTTTGGCAGTTTGGCATAAAAGTTCAGAGACCAAGTGGCTCTACAACAATCACAGCACAGCCAAGAAAAATGGATCCACATCCCAAAAATGCAAGAAAATATCCAAATACAATTTTTCTACAGAGAACCACACGCAATCTTCTGATATGATTATGTAATTTCATTAACTTCGCGATCAACATCAGTAGCTGCAGCGAGTCTTTATTTCATATCACTTCAACACATGATTTATCTCGCTAGTACTAGAGCTTATGTGCCCACTTGTCGGCCTGTATTGTTGGTGTATAAATGCTTTAGAGTTATTTACAGTTCAAGAATGTGTCACAAATCGCTTAAAATATACTCTCAGTCCCTATTTAATCTTCCTGGTTTGAATTGCACACATTTTTAGGAAATAATTTTTTACTTTTTTACTTCCTGAAATGTCCCTTTCTAGTTTCACAAAAGGGGTAAATTTCGCACAGTTTTTCTATATAAATTTGTCTAGCAAATAGGGAAAGAGCACTTCATTTAGGGACATCCAAAGGAAAGTTTGAAGTTTCATAAGGCATGGAGGGAGTAGTTCTTAGTCTTACCACCCGCTTAAAACTTTAATCGTATCATAGAACAACCACTGCAAAGTTAGGGAGGGCCCAACCAGCATTATTCTTATAGGAAGACTTCGTGTAAATAAATTAACAAGACCAATATTTTTCACAGCCTGGAAACAACATAAAAAACATAAGCTCAAAGAACATGCAGACATAAGCAGAAAATATATGTAGTATTTATTAAGAAAATAAGAGGAAAAAGGGGGTTACCAACTTCAGGGTCAAAGCCTTCTTGTTATAAAGGGACGCAACGATGTTGTCAGCCGGATTAGAAACAATACTACCTATAGATCCGGCAGCATATCCTGCTAAACATGTCACCCCAAGTTGTTGCATTCTAGAGCATTCTTCCTTCCTTCTCTGGATTATCTTTTTGTACATGAAATCCACTGTGTGCTCAAATGTTGAAAACATAACCACTGAAACTGCAGGAGAAAAAATATGACATTAGTCCAAAATATGCCAATGAATGGTAATATATATGCTCCCTGTTCATGGCCATAACATTTTGAAGTTGCGAGAATTCATGTTTCAATTCCAACTATGTATGTGAAATTTATTGAGGCCATGTTTTGAACACAGGAAATGGTATTGAAGCAAATAAAAAGAAAAGAAAAAAATGGTCTTTTAATGTTTGGCTTTAGCCTAGAAAGTGAAATCTGTTTTGATAAAAAAAATCCTCTTACATATATTTAGATTTCTCATTCTTCATGTGAAAGAACTATATAATTAAAGGATAAAATGGTCAAGTTAGCCCTCAGAGGATAAGCAGTCCTGGAATTGGATCCCTGAACCAGATGACCTTACAACCTACAAACACACTAATTGGGAAAAAAATTGAGCCCTATCACGTGCTTTGTGAACATAACAAGCCACTAGAAACTACCCGGATTTTACTGCCTTTTAGGCACCCAATAGGTAAAAAGGGCTTAATTGGTTTTCTCAATGAATTCAATAGTGTATTTGTAAGGTCATCCGGTCCAATGGCTCAATTGCAGAATCACTAAAACTTTGAAGACTTATTTGACCCTTTTCCCAAAATAGAATGCAGTAAAACAAAAATCTAAAGTTCATTTATTGAGTTTCAAAATGAAAGTTCCAAGCTCAACCTTAGATCCTACTACTATATAAATTACAATACACCTTCACTAGCTTCATGGACTTAATGTATGTACACAATGAACATTATCTACTTTGAATTAAATTACTCTGTACATGGGAGGTTACGGCCCAACAGCGGTATAAGCCCTTTGTATAAGCTGTAATCACAGAAAAGGAGAATTTTGTGAGAAACATTGTTGTAAACAAGAAAAATAGGAAATTGAACAAATTACTCAAAAGTACCCTCGGACTCCTTCAGAAGCATATAACTTGGGGAATCCATCAGCAAGGCCCTTCCCGAAATGGGGATATGCTTGAACACGGACTTTGATAGCCTCAAACGGACAGAGAGCGAAATTAGCTATCACTTCAGAGGATGAGCTGCTTAGAAAGAATATCAAAGTCTTCCTTTGATCCCCAAGTAAATTTGAGTAAACGTTCTTGAAGTATTCGTAGAGACCAAATCGACAAGCACCCTGAACACCATACCCTAAAAACTTCCCACCCCATCCTCTCCAGAACACAGATGGGCCTTCTTCTCTTAGTAAAGTGGAAAAGCTTGTTGGAATATTGCTGTACTTCACAGGGTTAACCTAAACACTCCAAATCCAGCAATTTAACCAGTTTCAAACACCAAATGGTTATTTAAACGATAAAAAAATATGAGTAAACTAAAGTGCAAAGCTCTGGAAATAAGTTTACGAATCCATACCAACGGAACACTACACCAAACTACCATGATAAAGAAAAATTGAACTCCACACACATTTTTCATTTTTCACCCTTAATTTATACTCGTATGAGAAACACGAAGAGAAATCTGAATGGACCTGCATATTGACTTTGAGGACATCAAAAGGTGTTAAAGCGAGATGGGTTGTTCCAGAACTCAACATGCCTCCAATGGCGCAAACCCCGTAATAACCTGGGGAGAATTCTTCAAAGATTCTACTTCTCCCTCCTCCTCCTCCCGCGGGGATCGTCATTTTCTCTCCGGATTCGATAAACGGAACCGCGCTCTTCTTCTTCAACCCATTATTCAAGAGAGCAGCAAATTCCTTCACTTACAGTCCAAATCCCCGCCATCCGAAAAGTTAGGAGCGATCACTCGAGCCACGTAGCCATGTAGGTTTTCCGAAGAAACGACGCCGTAGTATAGTGTATGCTGGTCTTCGTAGGCGTGTCAAATTGTCAATGAGTCTGTCAGGGCGGGAAGGTAATGTTACAGACCCGGACCTTCTAAGTTAATAATAGACTCATATTCGACCCATTTATTTAATGGGTTTGAAAATTTGGATCCAGATTTGACCCAAAGGGTCTCTGAATCGGGGTCGGGTAAATCCATCAAGTATGATATCATTATAAATTTTGTGAAAATAACAAGATATGTATGTGAAATGTAAAAAAAGTGAGCAAACTAAAAAGCAAAATACTTCTTCCGTTGTTTTTTAAATGTAACAGTCCACTTTTCACGTTTGCCAACGCACAAATTTGATCATTAATATTTTTCACTCCTTATTAGTAAAAAACTAAAATTTAATAAATGAGAAGAATTTAATAATATTTTTTACAATTTTAGTTTATAAAACATTAATAAATAAAATAAATTCAAAATAGAACACGTGAATAGTGGAAAAAGTCCAACGTTGCATTTAAAAAAGAACGGAGGGAGTATATATATCTTCACTTTTCATAAAAAAAATCTTCACTTTTTTTTAAAAAATCAAGGTTTCTCAAATTAGTACTTTTATCCAATAAAGTATCGGTTCTTGCGTATAACTCTACACTATGTGTCGCTTTTTCTCATACATAGAGCTCGTAAACTAATCTTCAAATTAAGTCACAAATGGTGTCTTGGACAAACTAATCTTCAAATTTGAGAGTATAAAAACATATTGTATGGAGTGTATGATAATGATATAATAATATTAATAGTTAATAATAATAATAATAATAATAATAATAATAATAATAATAATAATAATAATAATAATAATAATAATAATGAATATTGTGTGTTGCTTACCGAGCACAATACACATTTATCACTACGTACAAACGGCCAAAATGGGTATTACTTTTATTCTATCATACTATCTCGAATCTCGATCAGTATCACTTACGGAGTATATAATAGGTATGTATTAGTGATTTAGTGTGTATATTTTTAATTAAAGAATTACAACTAATACTTTTATGTATTATTATGCAAATATGTGTGTGTATTAGTTTGTATTTTTTATTTGAAGGTTATAACTCATCACTTTATGTATTAGTGTGTTTGTATACAAATAAGAAATTTTAAACGGGTTCTTAACGGGTCAGAATCACATGTACCGTATCAAACCCGTTTATTAAATATACTAACGGGTCCGGATCCGGGTAAACATAATAAAATATAGACCCATACCCGTTACCCGGTAACGGGTATAGGTCTTCGGTCTAGGGTTGGTCCGGGTCTAGACCCGACCCATTGACATGCCTAAGTCTTCGGTCTAGGGTGGGCACGGTTCGGGTCAGTCGGATAATTGATAAATTTTCAAGAACCGCTGGTTCCATTTAACAGGTAAATTTGGATTCCACCCTCATCTGGCATGTCAATCGAACCCGCCCTACCCGTACGGCCGTACCTATTCAAGATTTAGATTCCACCCTCAACTGAACGTCTAAAAGGAGGGGTAATTATGCATGTACGACTGTACGTGTTAAAGTGTTATGCATACATACATCTTCTTTGTAGATATTACTACCTTGTCTCATTTATATTGTCTCGTTCTACTTTTTTGGAAAGTCTCACTTAAATTGTCACATACTATATTTGGCAAAGATTATGTGGCTCTAAACATTCTTACTTTATCAATTAATATCAATCACACAAACCCACTTTTCTTAATAACCATGTCGCCCTCTTCCGTCCCAATATAAATGGGACGAAGGTAGTAATAACGTTAAAGTGTTACGGTATGTCAAGCAGGCTCATTAGCTCAGTTGGTTAGAGCGTCATGCTAATAACGCGAAGGTCGCAGGCCCAAAACCTGCATGGGCCAAATTATATTTTGTCGTACCCCTTCAGTCCCTTCACTGGTTCAGCTTAGTGCCTGCCCGAGAGCCCAATACAGTTTTTAAAATCCTTAACTTTTGGCCCATGAGTCACATATCCCATACCGGCCATACGTTCTTTTAAATTGCCCTTTTCGCCTTACGTAACTTATTCTTTAACATTTTGTATCACCTGTAAATAAATTAAATGATGATTAATAAATTTGTTGCAATTGTAACATTTTTTTTATATACAAAAATGTGGATTTTGCGGTTTAGTTTATAGAGCCAAGATCATCGCGTTGTTTGTGTTTCTCGGTTTCAAGCTACGGACATATTGCTTATACCGTTACACAGCAAATTATCAATATTATTAGTCAATGATTTGTATTTATATTGTCATTTGTTGGAGTAAATATGCTAAAAGGTTTAGTCAATATTAGTCAAAGATTATACAGTAATCTTAGTCGTGTGCTATATGAGCGTAATTTAATGCGGTTTATAGCCAAATTCACAACAAATTTGTTTAAAGTGATTATACTACAAAATTTTAAGAGATTATCGCGAGTGGTAATAAAATATGCATTGAGTATACAAATACTTCGTATAACAAATTATATTTTCTACCATATATCTAATATTTTCATAAAACTTTCATAATTTAATTAGATTCGCCCCCCTTAACTTTTAATTTTTAAAATTAATATATAGTGTTACATAATGTAATACTTAATTGAATATTTAAAAGAAGGAACATCTAAAATAATTACATAACTTAAACAAATAAACAATAGAATAACTCGTTGTTTAAGATTTAGGATACTTATTATATAAGAATTCCTAGTTTTGTAATGTTTAATTATCTTTATTAGATAACAAGTACTTGATTTTGTAAAAAATATATCAAACAATATTAAATATCAGACACACTAATTACACAGTTTTTAGATCACGTAAAATGAATCCAAAATATAAATGTTTATTGACATTAAATTACATAATTCATTTACTTCTTGCTTTCTAAAAATAATTTATTTCATAGATAATAAACTTTAAATTATTATAGCATTAATACAAATATTAAAATATAATATGCACCATATATGTGTGTGTATGTGGTGCATATTATTCTAAAAATAATAAAATCATACATACTACTATTGTAATATTAAGAAACTTCTCATGAGTCATGACTCACGAACACCCTCCTTAGTGGCCGGACAAAAATTACAATTCAATAATAACCGATTCATGAGGTTAAACAATGTAGAAGTTATTAAAAATGTATTGGTTGATGTCTTTGTCATCGTCTAATTTAAACTTAGAATGTACTACTTAATAGATTTAAATATCGTTGGGGATGTGTATGTATTAATGTCATTTTTTGAATAAAATTAGCCGCATAGCCCTACAGTAGGGGAAAAAATTCGCCCCGCTACACTAAGGAAAAAAAATTCGCCCCACTACACTAACGAATTTTTTTTCACTCCCTACACTACTGAAAAATTTCGCCCCCCTTGAATACAAATCCTGGATCCGTCCCTGACTAGGTGAGTCATAAACTCTTAGTAAAAGAAGACTGTTTTCACTCCCTACTAGGGCGTTATGACAGCTGTGCTTCAAATTTGAAAATGTAATTTGTATCTTAAGATGATTAATAGTTTTGGACAATTAAAAAAATGGAATTTAAGTATCTTAATTTTTTCTCCAACAATCTATATCTGTTATTTTATCCTTCTTCCTACAAAAATGTACTACGTATCTGATTACTCAATTAAGCATATCCCATTGTTCAAATACATTACCTTCGACATGCACGCACTAATCCTAGATCGGGTCACCAAATACCCTTATCGAGACCAACGCTAGTGGGGTTTGGCGCCGGTCCTAAGCTTAAAATGGATCGAAAAAGGTCCTGGTTCGGTTCTTTAAGTTGACCGGTTCCGGTCCTAGCCATTTCGGGACTGTATCCAACCTTACATTATCTCGGTACTCATATTATAGCAAAATTTTGAATACTTTCCTAAATTTTTAATTTTAAGTCAATTGCTTTATCAATCTTTCCGAAAGTATCTCTTCATGGGGCCAAATGCATCTTAAACCCAAATGCATCCTACACTTTGGACATAATATGATAATAGTACTCCGTATTAGTTATTAGGTGAATGATCATCATCTATCGTCATCGCATACTAAGAAAATATAGCATGAACAAGAAATTCAAGTAATACGTTAAGAGTGCTGAGTTATATGCCTATATTCAACGTTATTCTACCATATAGTCTTTGCGTGTATGTGATCTGGTATTGAATCGATAAAGTAAGAATAAAAAAGAATGAGTTAGAACCATACAAAATTATACTAAATTTGATATGCGACAATCTTAATCAGATTTTTACCACATTTGATATAAGACGATCTTAGTAG